GGGTGCAGGGCCTAAGCACTTGGGCCATCCTCCACTGCACTCCCTGGCCACAGCAGAGAGCTGGCCTGGAAGAGGGGCAACCGGGACAGAATCCGGCGGCCCGACCGGGACTAGAACCCGGTGTGCCGGCACCGCAAGGCGGAGGATTAGCCTAGTGAGCCACGGCGCCGGCACATTATATACTATCTTAAAAATCATATATGTCCCGTGACACTAGGGGAACTGCTCCTCTCCTCTCCTCTCCTCTCCTCTCCTCTCCTCTCCTCTCCTCTCCTCTCCTCTCCTCTCCTCTCCTCTCCTCTCCTGGCCAGCACTGTGGCATAGCAGATAAAGCTGCCGCCTGCAGTGCCAGCATCCCGTATGGGTGCCAGTTCGAGACCTGGCTTTCCCACTTCTGATCCAGCTCTCTGCTGTGGCCTGGGAAAGCAGTAGAAGTTGACCCAAATTGTTGGGCCCCTGTACCCACATGGGAGACCTGGAAGAAGCTCCTGGCTCCTGGCTTCAGATCTGTGCAGCTCTGGCTGTTGCAGCCAATTCGGGAGTGCACCAGCATATGAAAGACCTCTCTCTCTCTCTCTCTCTCTCTCTCTCTCTCTCTGCCTCTCCTCCTCTCTCTGTGTAACTCTTTCAAATAAATAAATAAATCGTTTTCAAATATTTATTTATTTATTTGATAGGCAGAGCTACAGACAGACAGAGGGAGAGACAGAGAGAGGTCTTCTGTCCACTGGTTCACTCCCCAAATGGCTGCAACTCTGAAGCCAGGAGCCAGGAGCTTCTTCCAGGTCTCCCACATGGGTGCAGGGGCCCAAGCACTTGGACCACCTTCTGCTGAGGGACTTAGAAAAGCAGCTGGAGGTTGGCTTGGCACAGCAGGAACCCAAGTGTGGAGAGGGACGGCCCGGTGCCTCCTGGGAAGGTGGTGCAGTGCAGGGGGTGAGAGGTCAGAGGATCACAGTGCAGGTGTGTGCAGGGCCAGCGGGGTACCCAAGGCTGCCAAGAAACTAGACTGTTCTGGGGGCCTGCATTGTGGCGTAGTGGGTCAAGTCACTGCTAGTGACGCTGGCAGTCCGTACTGGAGCACCGGCAGAGTCCTGGCTGCTCTGCTTCTGATCCAGCTCCCTGCTAATGCTCCTGGGAAAGCAGTGGAAGAGGGCCCGAGTGCTTGGGCCCCTGCACCCACATGGGAGACCTTGGTGGAGCTCCCGGCTTCAGCCTGTCCTAGCCCCAGCCACTGTGGCTTCTTAGGGAGTGAATCAGTGGGTGCAAGATCTCTCTGTTTCTCCCTCTCTCTGACTCTGCTTTTCAAATATAAAATAAAAAGTAAAAAAAAAAATTAGTTTCATTCTTTTCCCTATCTCAAAGAGTTCATGTTAAGGCTAAATTTCCCAATTTTGGCTCCTTTGAAAATTGTTTTTTTTTTATTTCAGATTCCATCTCCATTATTACTTGATATGCTTCAAAATGCTACTTTCTTTTTAAAAATGTTTTATTAATATAAATAGTCAGATTTCATGTATTTCATAGTTACAGTTCTAAAATAATCATATATCCCTCCTCTAAAACCCTCTCATTCCCTCATTTTTTTTTTTTTTTTTTTTTTTTTTGACAGGCAGAGTGGACAGTGAGAGAGAGACAGAGAGAGAAAGGTCTTCCTTTGCCGCTGGTTCACCCTCCAATGGCCGCCGCTGCAGCCGGCGCACCGCGCTGATCCTGGCAGGAGCCAGGATCCAGGTGCTTTTCCTGGTCTCCCATGGGGTGCAGGGCCCAAGCACCTGGGCCATCCTCCACTGCACTCCCTGGCCATAGCAGAGAGCTGGCCTGGAAGAGGGGCAACCGGGACAGAATCCGGCGCCCCAACCGGGACTAGAACCCGGTGTGCCGGCGCCGCAAGGTGGAGGATTAGCCTATTGAGCCACGGCGCCGGCTTTTTTTTTTTTTCTTAAGATTTGAGGGGACGGCGATGTGACACAGTGGGTTAACACCCTGGCCTGAACTACCAGCATCCCATATGGGCGCCAGTTCTAGTCCCGGCTGCTCTTCTTCCGATCCAGCTCTCTGCTGTGGCCTGGGAAAGCAGTAGAGGATGGCCCAGACCCTTGGGCCCCTGCACCCACGTGAAAGACTGGGAGGAAGCTCCTGGCTCCTGGCTTTAGATTGGCACAGCTCTGGCCATTGCGGCCAATTGGGGAGTGAACCTTCGGATGGAAGACCTCTCTCTCTCTCTCTCTCTCTCTCTCTCCCCCTCTCCCTCTCCCTCCCTCCCTCCCTCCTCTCTCTCTCTGTAACTCTGACTTGCAAATAAATAAATAAATCTTTCAAAAAAATTTTAAAGTTAAAAAAAAGATTTGAGAGGCAGAGAGAGAGAGAGAGAGAGAAAGAGAGACAGGTCTTCCATCCCTGGTTCTCTCCCCAAATGGCCACAACAGCCAGGGCTGGGCCAGACTGAAGCCAGGAGCCAGGAGCTTCTTCCGGGTCTCCTATGGGGGGTACAGGGGCCCAAGGACTTGGGCCATCTTCTACTGCTTTCCCAGGCCACAGCAGAGAGCTGGATCGGAAGTGGAGCAGCTGGGACTTGAACCAGCACCCATATAGGATGCCAGCACTGCAGGCAGCAGCTTTATCCGCTACGCCACAGCGCCGGCCCCTTGATACTTTAAAAAACCTAACATTCCCTTTAGCTTTGTTCTAACGACTGATACTGAAACCACATGTTTGTGCTAGCTTTATTTTTTCAAATATGCATTAAAATAAATGCACAGCTATTAAAAATGGAAATGCTGATCTCTGTCCCCTCCTAAAGCACCTCAAAATTTCTTATCATATGTGCCTCGTCCTTGAAAATCTATTTTTTAACCTCAATCTCCGAACGACAGAGGGTCAAAGGTCACTAGGCTGTATGGGGTACATGGGGTACATGAAACAACCGGGGAGAGCCCCAGGGCACCGCAGGCCTGGGTTTTGGGTGAAAAGCGTGAGCTTTGAATCCAGCTCCTAGGAAAATGCCTCAGTTTCTCCCAGGAGTCCTCAGCTCACAGGGTCAGCCAGAGGCACGCTTTACGTGTCCTGTGGAAACCAGCCCAGTAAGAATTTCCTGGCTTGAGGCTGCCCAGGAGGTAACAGGACCCCTGGCCTCAAATGTGATGGCCGTTCCAGGTGTAAGTGGCTCAGGTGGTGTCGTGTGCCAGCCATGAAAACAGTAGCCGAGAAAGGGCAGGGGGAGGCAGCCGAGGGTGGGTGAGGGCGGGCCGGCCTCTCTCGCTGCTTGTCCTGCAAGGCTAGGGAACTTTATCTGCCAAGGGCCCTTTGGATCTTCATAGCATCATTTGTGGGCCACACAAAATTATCTACTTAAAAATCAGCCTGCTGCGGGACCGGTGCCGTGGCCCACTGGGTTAATCCTGCGTCTGCGGCACCAGCATCCCATGTGGACACTGGTTCGAGTCCCGGCTGCTCCTTTTCCAATCCAGCTCCCGGCTATGGCCTGGCATAGCAGTAGAAGATGGCCTAAGTGCTTAGGCCCCTGCACCCGCATAGGAGACCAGGAGGAAGCACCTGGTTCCTGGCTTTGGATCAGCACAGCTCTGGCCATTGCGGCCATTTTGGAGGGTGAACCAACGGAAGGAAGACCTTTCTCTCTGTCTGTCTCTCTCACTATCTGTAACTCTACCTCTCAAATAAATAAATAAAATATTTTAAAAAAAATTAGCCTGCTGCAAATCTATTCAATTTCGAGTCCCGCCTGCTGTTGTCTTGACACGGCCAGACCACATGATTCGCTGGAACTTATACGGCCCAAGGGCTGGACATCTGCATCCCCTGACCCGGTCCAGCCCACAGGCTGTTTAAAAGCAACTTTAAGGGGCCGGTGCTGTGGCTATGCCACCATCTGCAGCACCGGCATCACATATGGATGCTGGTTTGAGCCCCAGCTGCTCCACTTCTGACCCCGCTCCCTGCCTGGGAAAGCAGCAGCAGATGTCCCAAGTGCTTGGGCCCCTGCACCCACGTGGGAGACCCAGAAGAAGCTCCTGGCTCTTGGCTTTGGCCTGGCCCGGACTTGGCTGTTGCGGTCATCTGGGGAGTGAACCAGCAGATGAAAGATCTCTCTCTCTCTTTATCTTTCTCTCTCTCTCTTTCTCTTTCTCTCTCTCCCTCTCTCCCTCCCTCTGTAACTCTGAGTTTCAAATAAATAAATAAATCTTTAAAAAGCAACTTTAAAATAAATCTGCTAAATCAGCATAGCAGCTCCCCTTAGCTCCTGGCTTGCTCTAGCTCCCTCCTGTGTTCTGTCTTGTCTTCTTGGATTTTTACCAAAATCTCTCTTAGGACAATTAAGAATCCCAGAGCAGAAAAACCCATCAAGGCCGGCGCCGCGGCTCACTAGGCTAATCCTCCGCCTAGCGGCGCCGGCACACCAGGTTCTAGTCCCAGTCGGGGCGCCGGATTCTGTCCCGGTTGCCCCTCTTCCAGGCCAGCTCTCTGCTGTGGCCAGGGAGTGCAGTGGAGGATGACCCAAGTGCTTGGGCCCTGCACCCCATGGGAGACCAGGAGAAGCACCTGGCTCCTGCCATCGGATCAGCGCGGTGCACCGGGTGCGGCGGCCATTAGAGGGTGAACCAACGAACCAATGGCAAAGGAAGACCTTTCTCTCTGTCTCTCCCTCTCTCACTGTCCACTCTGCCTGTCCAAAAAAAAAAAAAAATCAAGAAGAGTGATGTTGTGCTGCTATGACTTCTTCCTATCAATGTCAGGGTCAGATGAACTTGATGAGACAAAATGTTAGTATAACAATGCTGTTTATTTGTGATTTAAAAAAAAAAAAAAACAAAACAAAAAAAAAACCAGCCACTTTCCTTGTTCCCTTATGCACAGCTCCTGTGTGGCTCGCTCAGCCCTTGGTGGGACCAGAAGTGTTCTCGCAAGCCCTCGGTCCCCAGCTCGCCTTTGTCCCTCTACCTTGCTAAGAAAAAAAACACACCCAGACATCAGCCAGTGATGAGAAACGCGTCTTTATTGGGTGATTCTCATAGCCAGTGCTGCAGAGGGCCTCACAGAAGTCACGAGGGCGCTCCCCGCCACCGAGAGAGGCGTGGACGGCCGTCTTCTTACCTCGCTAGAACGGGGGGCACGCTGTAGAAGCTTGTCAGGGGGAGTCAATCACTCAGCGAGTTCGGGGCAGGATGTGGGGGTTCCCGTTGCCCGGGGCTGTGGAGGCCTTGCAGCTGCACATCCCCTCTCCTTTTTTTCTCCATAGAGCAGGCCAAAGCCTGCCTGGCTTCTAAGAGTGCACCATTTCCTGGAATTCTAGAACGCAAGGGTGAGAGCGGGGTTAGCGGAGACAAGGAGAGAGAAGGCAGTAAATTTCCAGGTGACCGGCGTGGCCTCCTTGCAGGGACACAAGGAGGAAGCAGGTGGAGGGGGGTGTGCCACATTCATTCCTGCATCATTTTCTGTGATTGACATCCACTTGGCAACACCGCCCATCAGCCAGCACTGATCAGCCCCGGCATTTCTCCCTGGCAATGGGTGCATCCGGCGTAACCGAGGGCACAGTCAGCAGGCACTGAACTGACTTAAGACAGCAACGGGAGATTTTCTTCCTCATTCTGTAGCAGTGTGTGCATTCTTGGGAACATTTTTGGAGGGGTGGGGGTGGGGTTTTGAACTAACTTTCCTTTATTGAATCCTATCCCTGTCCCCAAAACCTTATAAAAGAGGGATAATAAAAACAAGAGGAAGAATCAAGTGCTACAGATTGAAACTGAAAATGGGGGATTTGCTATATATTGATAAGCTTTTTTTTATAAGCTTTACCTACTTGGAAGTCTTTTGTCGTTATGTTTAAATAAACCAATCCTCCTTGCCTAAACTATTTTCCCAAGCTATCCCTAGAAGCTGCATTAACTCATGTGTAGTAAAGCAGCCTAGTTTTGAATAGTTTTTTTTTTTTGTTTTTGTTTTTTGTTTTTTTTTTTTTGTTTGACAGGCAGAGTGGACAGTGAGAGAGAGAGACAGAGAGAAAGGTCTTCCTTTTGCCGTTGGTTCACCCTCCAATGGCTGCTGCGGCCGGCGCACTGCGCTGATCCAATGGCAGGAGCCAGGTGCTTCTCCTGGTCTCCCATGGGGTGCAGGGCCCAAGCACTTGGGTCATCCTCCACTGCACTCCCTGGCCACAGCAGAGAGCTGGCCTGGAAGAGGGGCAACCAGGACAGAATCCGGTGCCCCGACCGGGACTAGAACCCGGTGTGCCGGCGCTGCAAGGCAGAGGATTAGCCTAGTGAGCCGCGGCGCCGGCCTTGAATAGGTTTTTAAAAGAATCTATGCTAGTTTTTTTTTTTTTTTTTAAGATTTATATATTTATTTGAGACAGAGGCAGGGAGAGACAGAGGCCAGGAGCTTCTTCCTGGTCCCACGTGGGTCCAAGGGCCCAAGCACTTGGGCCACCTTCCACTGCATTCCCAGGCCATTAGCAGACAGCTGGATCATAAGTGGAGCTGCTGGGACTTGAACCAATGCCCATATGGGATGCTGGCACCACAGAGGAGGCGTAAGCTCCTACGCCACAGCACTGGCCCCTATGCTAGCATTTTTAAAGTTCAGATTAGCACAATCATGCATTCTCCTGAGCTGGCAGGCAAAAATCAGCTAAATATCGTGTGAGCAAGGTGCCAAGATCGAGTGCAAACAAGCCTGTAGCCGCGCGATCCCGGTGAAGTTTGGGTGTCGGCTCTGTACACAGAACATTCTGGAAATGCCGGTTGACTCATCTGCTCTCTGGTTGGTATTGGCCACGTGGTGGGCCTAAGGTCAGCAGAACGTTTCCGTTTAAACCCTGGAAAGCTAAGAGACCCTGCGACGCGAGCCAATAGACTCCTGGGATAAGACACACTTGAGAATGCCAATCCCCGCCTTATTTTCAAGATTCATTAGGACATTTTGCGCATAACTGGCCAGGTATTGAGCCAGCCCCTTCGTCAGGCGAGGGATGTGTTCTAGGTCACAGCCAACGATCAGCGCGACCATGTGCTGTGGTACACCTCCAGGCACCACGCAACATTCACATCCTCACTTCAGCCCCATTTTACAGATGAGAAGACTGATGCTCGGCCATTTAAGGAAAGGGCGATGTTAATCCTTGTCTGATCCCACAGCCCAAGCCCTCCCGGGTGCTCCTTGGGCTACACTGTTTCGTGTGATGAACAAGCGTGAACGTACCGTCAGCCCCAATTTTTCCATCTCCATCATTGTCTGCAGCGGCCATCAGGGACTTGGTCTCTGACTCGGTCAGTTCTCTAGCACCACTCTCGAACTTCTGGAGGAAAAACCTACGGGATAATAAAGATGGAGGGGAATTTTCCAAAAGGCTCTCTATCCCCCCCTTCCTGTCTTATTTCCTTTAAGCCAATCCTCTGTCTCCTGCAGGTGCAGTAATCAGACAAGCTCTCAGCCAGCAAACGATTCCTTGGCTGTAGAAAGCAAAGGGAGTGTTTCACTTCTCAAGGTTTCTAAAGGGCTGTGTTTAGTCCATTTGCCAAGGGAAACCCCTTCAACGCGTGAGTCTTTGCACTGACCCTCTTCAGTGCCCATGTGTAGTGCTTTGCACGGGTAGATGTGAGGCCAAATGCCTCGTGTTCTGTGCCTAACGAGGCCCAGCCCAACGACCAATGCGGAGGGTGTCCACTGAAGAAATAACCCAGAAAACTGCTCAGCCCCCTGCCATGGGCAATGCTGGGGAGGGGGGTGTCCAGGGCAAAGCTTACTTAAGCTCGTCTTCATCCAGGTATCCGCTCTGGTCGTTGTCTAAGAACCGGAAGACGTCCTTCACCTGACTGGCCGACATCTTGGAGAGGCCTGATGTCTGGAAGAATTTTTGGGGTTCAAAAGTATCTGGGTCTGTGGAATAGAGAACGGGTTGTCTGAGGCTCACCGGGTCACAGTCGGAAGGACTGGGGCCATGGTGCTGAAAACACAGGGCACTCATAGCGCTTTGGGGATACCCCCGGGCTACAGGGATGCTCCACGGGCCCAGGACACGTCAGCCAAGCGAGGTGGGCTCTGCAACGTCCCCTCTTGTCCCCTCGTGTACACCTGCCCCTCTCTGTTGGACGTTGTCCATCTCCCCGTCTCTCTCCTCCTCAGTGCCTCCCCAGCCACACACACTCTGCCCCACTCCCTCTGTGCCCAGTTTCCAATCCCCAGTCCCCTGGTCTCATTGGTGGTGGTCAGTGCAGGGGAGGGGGTTTAGGGTGTCGCAATCACTGTCCACCGATTTCCTGTTTTCCTGCTTACGAAGTCTCCGTCTTGCAGAAATGCAAGCGCCCGTGGCATCCTGTATACCTATCCTTTTAGAGTTAGCCAACTCTCATCCTCTGATTCCACATGTTTCTCAGTAAAGGTCCCGTTCTGCTGCTGCTGGCTTGGCTGGAGGAGGTGCTGGGAGTGGGGGTGGGGGGAACCCACGCCTGCCCCGCTCGTCTCCCTACCTTGGCATTCCTGCAGGGCGGCTGCGATGTCGTCAGCGCTGAGCACGTCTGTGATGCTCATTGTACCCCCTGGCCGCACGGAAGAGAGGAGAGGCCTCAAAGACAAGAGGAACACGCATGTCGGAGGTGGGGGGAGGGGCACGCAGGCACCTGGGCCCACTGCAACTGCAGAGTTGTCCCCAACTTTCAAAACCTGACCATCAGGATGTGGGATTTAAGCGATGCAACCAAGAATCCCCCCCAAAAAAACAGATGCTAAGGAGACCCCTGTGTCTCAGTGTCCTCTCCCTAATGGACTCCAGAAATTAAATAAAACGATGACCTAAAGTATGATTTGATTCAGTTTTTTTTAGGATAAGAATGTTTCCATCCTTGATCCATCACTTACACTGGCTACCCTGAGCTACATCACAAAGATAACATTTTCCCGGAGCAGCCAATGAAATACAATGTTGCAAATTCCACCTGGGATAGAGCAGCTTGTCCGGAAGACAGGCTACCTGTGCTGAGCAGTGCCAGTCGGAAGTATGAAAAGCCCAGCGATCCCACAGCAAAATCCCTGCAGGTGTCACAGCCGTGGGAAAAGAAAAATCTGAGCATGGCACACACAAGCCAAATGCTAGTGCCCGCAGGGAAGAAGAGCCCGGGACGTCCACCAGCTACTTACGGTTGCAGATTTGCCTCCGAGATGAACCAGGAAAAGGGCACAGAGGAACGACACCCAGGTATGCTTCCGCTGCCTCAGGGACCTGGCTTATAAAGGGTTGAAAAGGGGATGGTTTCCACCTCTTGGATTCCCTCGTCAAGGATCAAGTACAGGTAGCTCAAATGTCCTGCCTTCCTAATGAAGCCTTTTTTTTTTTTTCTATTTATATCTAGAGAGAATGTGGGTGGGAACAGCCAATTGTAAGAAAAAAAAAAAAGGCAAACAAACCTCAACAAACCTTAACTAAGGTTTCAATTCTGCAAATGAACCCCTTGGTGAAATGTGGAGAAGGTTCTAGAAGCCTGGTTAGGTGAAGGTTGAAACGAGATAAACACAAGAGGTGGGGGCGGGGGCGGCTGAGACAACTGACCGGGAGGGCCGTGGCTGCCTTTGCAGACCTGTGGGGCTGACCTCACTCTAAGGGGACAAACCCAAAGCCAGCGTCACCACGTGGACTCTCAGGACCGGTGCACCAAAGGAGATGGGACTGGGTAGACCACTTCCCCTTCAGAAGCCTGGACTACAACTTTTAACTTGCACACACTCAGAAAGCAAAAAAAAATAAAAAATAAAAGGGAAGAAAGAAACCCATCCCCACAATCCCAAAACTCACATTTTGCACAGAAACAATGAGACCACAAATTTGTTTTGTTTTTCACTTCCAGCAAACACAGAGCCCCTCAACAAGTTATTATTGGGGTGCAAACCACATAAGGTAAAATGTACCATCTTACCACCTGGAAGGGCCCACACAGGACAGCGGCATTAACTGTGGCCACCTCCTCGTGCAGATCTGCCGAATGTTTGCATCACACGAAACTCATGGAGCACACTCCCTCGCGCCTCCTCGCCCCAGCTCCTGTGGAGCCTGTCTGTCCTGGGGACCTCATATCATAGACTTGTGCACCATTTTTTTTTAATATTTATTTATTTAATTGAAAGACAGTTACAGAGAGATGTAGAGGCAGAGAGAGAGGTCTTCCATCTGCTGGTTCACTCCCCAGATGGCCGCAACGGCCGGAGCAACGCTAATCCGAAGCCAGGAGCCAGGAGCTTCTTCCGGGTCTCCCACGCAGGTGCAGGGGCCCAAAGGCTTGGGTCATCCTCCACTGCTTTCCCAGGCCATGGCAGAGAGCTGGACGGGAAGTGGAGCAGCCAGGACTCGAACCGGCACCCCCATGGCATTCCAGCACTTCAGGCCAGGGCATTAACCCGCTGCGCCACAGCACCAGCCCCACCATTTGTCGCTTTGCGACTGGTTGAGTTCACTCGGCACAGGGTCCTCAAGGTTGATCCGCGTTACAGCCTACGACAGGGCTGCCTTCTCTTTTAAGTCTGGATTAAAGGTTGTCTGTTGTTGTTTGTTTTTAAGTGCAAAAATAGACCCCATGTTGCTATCAGAAGCAGGCTGTGCACTAAAGGGAAATAACTCAGGGGCCGGCGTTGTGGTGCGGCGGGTTAAGCCGCAGCCTGTGATGCCAGCATCCCATAGGAGCACCAGTTCGAATCCTTGGTGCCCCTATTCTGATCCAGCTCCCTGCCGATGCACCTGGGAAACCAGAGGAAGATGGCCCAAGTGCTTGGGCCACTGCCACCCAATGGGAGATCCAGATGGGGTTCCAGGCTGCTGGCTTCAGCCTGACCCCAGTCCTGGCTGTTGCAGCCTTTGGGGAGTGAACCAGCAGATGGAAGCGCCCTCTCCCCCTCCTTCTCCTTCTCTCTTTGTAATTCCGAGTTTCAAATAAATCCATAAATAAATGTTTTTAAAAGCAGACAACTCGGCTCTCTGAGGGCGCCCTCAGAGTCTTCCCCGGGTGACGGTCTGGGTGGTCACCTTCCGTCGGCTCCCTGCCTCTACCCCAGTGCCACCAGCGATCGGTTTCTCTTGGTCCCTTCTGTGTTGCTGTAACCAAAGAGCTGAGGCTGGGGAGTTTTTCGAGTAAAGAGGTTCATTTAGCTCACTATATTGGCGACTGCAAGGTCCCAACAGTGTGGCCCAGTGCAGAAGGGCCTACGGGCGTCCTGACCCACTCCCGAGAGGCAGCCTCAGCCCCTTCCAAGATGGCGCTCCCACGACCCAACAACCCTCCACCTCGTGAAAGTTCTGCCACTCCAACCCTATTACGCCAGGGACCAAACTAACAGCACATGCACCTTTGGGCAACAAACCCTATCAGACACCTACAGCATTTCTTTTTCTAATAAAAAAAAAAAAAAAAATCAAAAAACAAAGACAGAACTTTTTAATTGCGAAAGAGCAAGCACACTCTCATCCGTGGGTTCATTCCCCAAAATAAACCAATTTCATTCCCTCAACAGTTGGGACGGGGTCAGGACTGAAGCCACCAGCCAGGAACTCCATCCAGGTCTCTCCTGTGGGGCAGGAAACCAAGTACCTGAGCCTCTCCGGGTCTGCATTAGCAGGAAGCTGGAGTCAGGAGCCAGAGCCAGAGCCAGGAGGCCAAACCCCGAACCTCCAACGAGGGCGTCTTAATCACTACACCATCCACCCCACCTATAGCATTTCATGAATCACCAAACCCGAGGCCAGCCTGTGTCTGTCTTGCCCAGCTCAGGCCTGGACGGTAGTTAGGTGTTCTGTAGTTACTTGACGAATGAATACATAAAAACAGCAAGAATAACTTGCAAACACTGTCACCAGCCAGCATCAACTTGTCCAGTCCTTGAATAGTCCTGGAAAATAAGCCTCAAGAATTCTGAATTTGGGGCCAGCATTGTGGCACAGCAGGTTAAGCTGCCACCTGCAATGCTGGCATCCTATATGGGCACTGGTTCGAGTCTCAGTTGCCTCACTTCCGATCCAGCTCCCTGCTGATGTGCCTGGGAAAGCAGGAGGAAGATGGCCCAAGAAGCTCCTGGCTCCTGGCTTTGGCCTGGCCCAGTCCTGGTCAGTGTGGCCTTTTGGGGAATAAAACAGCAGATGGAAGATCTCTCTGTGTCTCTCCTTTTCTGTAACTCTGCCTTTCAAATTAAGAAATAAGTCTTTTTTTTAAAAAAAAAAAGGAGAATTCTGAATTAGGTTTCTGACATTAAGTTGCCATAGAAACTAGCTGAGCTCTTTCTTTTCATGGACATGTTTACAACAATCTGTAGAGATTCAAAAAAAATTTTTTTTTTAATTTGCCCAACTAAATAAAAATGGCATATGGGTTAAACCAAGATACTGTCAATGAGCATGCTGTTTTTCTGATAGAAAATAAAGATAACAGAGATCCAGGAAATATGTTTGGATCAACGAGGCACCCAAAATTATACCTTGGAGTCTGCAATGCACAAACTGGGGGTCAAAATGTTGATTCACACAAAAGGACAGATGCTGTGTGATTCCACTAATGTGATGGACATAGAATATTGAAATCAACAGAAACAGGAAGGAGGAGGATGGGTAGCAGGGGCTGGAGGAGGCAGTCTGCGTGCAGAGCCATGGTTTAAGAGACAGAGTTTCAGTCTGGGAAGACCCAATGGCCTGGAGTTGGATGGTGGTGATGGCTGTAAACGTGTTTAATGCCACTGAGCTGTCCCCTTCACAGTGGCGAAGGCTGGGGCCAGCGCTGTGGTCTAGCTGGTTAACCCATCACCTGTGACACTTGCATCCTGTATGCAGCACCAGTTCAAGTCCCGGTTGCATTGCTCCCCATCCAGCTCCCTGCTAATGCACCTGGGAAGGCAGTGGAAGATGGCCCAGGTACCTTAGCTCCTGCCACATGTGTGGGAGAACCGGACAGAGCTCCTGCCTCCTAGGTTTGCCATTGCAGCTGTTTGGGTAGTAAAGCAGCAGATGGGAGATTCTCTCTCTCTCTCTCTTCCAAATAAATAAATAAATCTTTTAAAAGATGGTTACGTTCACCTAAAAATGGTACAGTCTGTGTTATGTAATAGACATACACATTGCGTACATGTTATACATATAGACACAAGATGCTGATTTAATCATCAGGCCTCATTCTTTTGGCCTCTGATGCAGGACTGTTCCCAGCAAAGAGGCAGAGGAAGAGGAAGAAGTAGAAGGTCGAAATCTGAAGCTCAACTACGTCCATCCGTACCTGTGTGCCGCAGGTCTCATTTTCTCTTGCAGGAGACAGCAATATTGCAACCGGCTGCTCACTCACCTTCCCAGGGTTCCCAGGGCCAAGGGATCACCTGCAGATCTGCAAACATTCCAAGGTGTCCCAGAAGCCCTGTGGCATCTCAGCCCTGGCCTGAGATGGGAGAGGTCTTCATCTGGGGCATCCACCCCACACTGCTGGTATAGGCTCCCTGGGGTAGGAACAGTAGATGCTGGGATCGACTAGCAATGTCTGCAGGGTGGGAGAGTGGCAGCCAGGACGCGAGGACCCTGACTGAGCTGTATATTTGGGTTTTGCTTTCTGCCAGTGGCCCCAGATCCTCCAGTGTCTGAGTATGTTTACTTTATGAAAATAGAACAAGCACATTTCTGTGTGTTTTACGTTTATGCAAACTTGACTTTAATTAAAAAAAAAAAAGTAGTTTCCTCCAAAGATTGAGCAGTCCCACCTTGTGACTTAGGCCCTGAGGATGGAGGTGGAGGCTCAGGCACCGGCCAGCCACAGCCTCTCTCTGTCCCCTGGCTTCCTTAGGCAGGGCCCAGCCTGTCCTGACAGCAGGGCTGCAAGCCCTTAGGCGGCTGTGCTCGGTGGCAGGAAGGCAGTGGGCTGGGAGTCCAGACAGAGGATGTCCCCGGGGCCTCGTCCTCACCGCCATCTGCAGCCACCTGGTTCAACTCCTTGCTTGTGGGCCATCTCCTCTCCCGAACAGAAGCTCCCAGAAGGTGGGACAGTGTGTGCCGTTCACCCCCAGCCCTCCAGCACCCCGGGTTGCATAGCTCCAGGGGCTCCAGCAGTGGGCACGAGAGAGCCTGGCCCCACAAGGGGCATCCGACAGCTCCTTTAAACGACAGCCTGTATGATGAGAACATCCCCTGTGCTTTGAGTCCCTTCCAATCAGCTCCGAATCGGGCAACTTCCTAACACTGACCACAAGTGTAGGTGGTTCCGGAACACTGACCGTGAGTGGGGGTGGTTCCTCAAAGTGCAACCGGAACAGCAAATGCGGGGGGGGGGGGGGGCTGATCTGCATCCTGGTCTCCCTTGTGGGCAGCAGGGGTGTGGCAGGGGCTGCTTTCCCAGGCGCGTTAGCAGGGAGCTGGATTGGAAGCTGAGCAGCCGGGAC